TTCAGGCTGGTAAAGTCTATGCAGACCCTCCATTTATCATTTTTTTTTCACCACCACTGTATTTGATAGCCATGTCGGGTAATTTACTTCTCGAATGGCTTTAGCCTCTAGAAGTCTGTCTACTTCCTCTTCCACTGTTTCGACGTGCATCAACGTCGATTTTCTTGCTCGTTGGATTACAGGTTTGGACGACCTGTCAACGTTTAGTTTATGGCAAGTGACCTCGGGGTCAATGCCTGGCATTTCATAAGGCGTCCAAGCAAACACCTCAATATTTGCTCTTAAAAAAGCTTCAAACTCTTTTTTCTCTTTTTCGGCTAAGCCCGAGCTGAGAAGAAAGAAGCGTTCTTCATCCCCCTCCCGGATGAGGATTTTTTTCAGTGCTTCTTCACTCTTCTCGGCCGGCTCCTTGCCGACATCATCTAGGATTTCTACGTCCTCGTCTTCAATCTTTGCCTTCTCTGGTTCTCGTATGCTGCAGGTGGATTTCATTGCTGCCATGGAGTAATTCTTTGCCTGCAGCTGATCTCCTCTAACCTCCTCTATCCCATGCTCTGTTGGGAACCACAATAGTTGATGCAATGTTGAGGGAACAGCCCTCATTGCATTCAACCATGGCCTTCCCAAGATAATATTGTAAGGGGAGGGCGTGTCGATTACGGTGAACTCTGTCTTTATCTTCTTCGTGCCAGCCTGCATATCTAAGCTTACTGCTCCTAGTGGCCATGTCGGCGTTCCATTGAACCCGACCATTGGGCAATTAGATTGTTCCATATTGTCTGGGTGAAGGCCAAGCTCCTTATAACATCTGAATACATGATGTCACAAGAGCTGCCTTGGTCAATGAGGATGCGCTTCACTTGGCACTCCCCAACCTAGAGGGATACAACCAAGGCATCGTTGTACGGATGCTGGACCATCTCCAGGTCAGCTTCAGTAAAGGACACTACTGGTCCTTGGAACTCCTCGACCCGAGGTCTTTTCTCTCGAACTTGGTACACATGCTGCAAGTGCCTCACCTTCTAGGTCTCTCCCCGTATTTCGTTTTCGTTGACCTTTGAGTGAATTACATTAATTATCCGAGGTCCGCCTTCCTGCGGTTGCTGTGCTGGGGGAGGTGGAGCTGCTGGTGCCTGAGGCAATCTTGCCTGTTCTTTCCTTGTCCTGGCCTCATCTACAAGGTCCTTCAGATGGCCTTGCCTTACCAAGTCCTCCAGGTGTGACTTCAGGGCTCTACAACCCTGAGTCAGATGCCCATCTTCGTTATGGTAAGCATAATGCTTGCCAAGGTTCCTTCCCATGAACTTTCTTGGTACCTTAGCTAGTGCTTTAAAATAAGGTTGGGTTCGGATTTTATCCAGGACTTTGTGAATTGGGATTCGAAATACAGTTGTGACTGCCTGTGCAGTTCTCAGCCCTATCTCTTACTTGTTGGATCCGTTGCTACCTCGGCCTCGCTTCGGTGAGCCGTTTATTTTTTCCTGCTTCGTCGCCTTTATTCCTGGCGTGTCTTCCTCGGTTCAGGCGTATTTTTCAATTCTAGCCATGAGCTCCTCCATACTTTTTCCCAATGTCTTTGCCAATGACTTGCATAGTGCGCAATCATCTTTCAGGCCGTTCTTGAAAGACACAACCGCCACCTCTTGGTTGCATTCGGGTATTCGGTTGAACACCTCATAATACCTTTTTGCGTACGCCCTAAGGCCTTCATCCTCACTGATCCTGAGAGCCATCAGGGCGTCCACCCTTAATGGCTGCAATTTGTTCGTTACAAACCTGGCCACAAACATCTCGGTCAGGCTTTTCCAGGTCTTCACACTTTCCCTAGGTAATTTATGAAACCGGTCCGATACAATCTCCCCGAAAGATGAGGGGAACACCTTGCAGAGTAATGGCTCGTTCCTAGTGTACAGTGCCATCGAGTTCAGGTATAATCCAATGTGAAAGTTGGGGTCCGACTTTCCATCTTATATCTGGAACCTCGGCATACTGAATCTTTTTGGTGCCTCAACCTTGTCTAACTCTACAGAGAATGGTGTTCTCGGCTTAACTGTTGAGGTTACCTTGGCATGATCTTGCTTCCTCTTGAGGTAATCTCTCAAATCCTCTTTGGTCCGCCCAAGAGCTCGGCTATCTCCTGATTTTAGTCTCTTAGGTGCACTGCTTTCAGCCTCGTTGTGAGCCCTTTTTGATCTTTCTCCATTGGTCGCATCGAAGCACAACTCCTGCCTTTGAACATGTCGATGTTCTCTGGGGTCTGCCTCCTTGGTGTGGTGTGTCCTTCGAGATTCTTCTCTTCTTGGCTCTCCTCACCCGACCTCCTTTGAAGGCCGGTGAGAGAGTCTTACACTCCTGGCATGCTGGGGGGCTACATGGATTGTCTTCAACCCTCCCTTCTGAGCGTTGGCCGCTGGAATCGGCGTGTTCTGCAGCGGGAACGGTGGCTGCATGACGTTATTTTGCATCATGAAATTGACCGTTGTTTGTAAGTCCCCCAATTTGTTTGCCATGGTCTTCACTTCGTTGTCCCTCCGCAGGCATCTTTCTTTCCATACCTGGAGCTCATCCTCGTTGTAGTAATCGCTTTGGTCTGTTTTCTTTGGTACGTCGCCCTCCTGGCCGACGTCCTTTCCTCCGTGATTTTGGTTTCCATTGCAGTTGTCCTCTTCAACATCAAGGTCTACTGGTCTCCCACTCCCAGCAGGAGTGTTATCCCCAGTCTTCTCTTTCTGTCCGTCATTGTTGGCCATCTATTCTCCTTAAGTTCCCACAGACGGCGCCAAATTGTGTGAGTGAATTTCTGACCACACTGCCAATTCAGTATTCAGCTGGAGAACACTGGCAGAATAGGATTAGCCCGAACAACCTGCAACAGAAAGAAGAGACTCCAGGGGTGGTTCGTCCACCCGGGGGCACTCCGATGATTAAGTCAGTAATCAAATATCTCTTCAAAAATAATGAATAGTGCTTAACTCACTGTTCTGAATATAAATTGCGTACCTTAGACTCATGGAGATGCCTCTCTTTTATAGTCTACTCAATCCTAGTCCCAATAGGAGCCTCGCTTCAATGGACTTTAGTTCTCTGTGTATCCTGGACTCTTCAATAGATAAAGATAAACTCCCTAAGAGCTTTATTCTTATCTAGGCTGAAATCCTTCCTCATACTAGGACTCTTGTCTCTTGTCCCTTATCCCGGATTCCGATATCTTCGGAGGTAATCTCGACTTAGCCGAGATAACCTCGGCGTTACGACCAGGACACGTGGCACCTCGACGTCACCTTAGCCACGTGTTGGTACTCTGAAAATATATCCCCCCAATATATATATATATATATATTTTTTGTCTTTCTCTATTCTCTCGCTTGTATCTCATTGGAAATGAAAATAGAAGTGGCATATTAAAGAGATATAATACCACTATTAGTTTTAAATGAGGGCTTGAGTATTAATAATGTGATTGATAACTAATAACTCATATGTTATTTTAAGCCTCGTTTGATAAGTGATTTTTTTAGTTAAAAAATAAAAAAGTCATTAAAAATAAAAAAGTCAATAACTTATATTAAAAAGTTAAAAATTTTATTTTCTTTTTACTTTTTACATATTTTTTCGTAAAAAATTAAAAAATCATCTCAAATATATTAATTTTTTTACATCATATTTTAATAAAAAAAAAATAAAAAAATTACTTAAAAAAAACATTTTTCAAACAAGGTGTCAGGTGGTTTTCCTGACTTATTGGTGGAGCTCATGGGATTAGCGGACCTCACAGAAAAGATGAGGTAAAGGCTCTGGTCTTGGAGGAAAGCCAGAAAAAACAAAATGCTCTGTCTCATGAACTTTTGAATCACTTTCCATAGCTCCTATTTGATATTTTTTCTTTTCAAATTAAAAGAGTAACTTAAAAGTAAAAATTAAAAGTATTTAGTTTTTTTTAATTTATTTAATAAGTAGAAAATGTGTCTCACGCTTTTGTAAATATTATATATAAAATATTTATAAAAAAAAAGGTGACACTCCAAAATTCCAAAATTAAGACTCATATAATATTTTGAAGATATTCCAATATTTTGAAGATATTCCAAGATTTCTGACTCTTCAAATTTTACAAATCTTCCACAAGGAATCCGCTTTGAAGAATCAGCCACCAAGCGTCAACATCAATAATTGATATTCCAGCAAAAGAAGACAAAATCCGCAGATCTTTTAGGCAGTGTTTGGTGATAAATAAATAAATAAATAAATAAATAAACCTTGTTTTGCTTCAATATCTTTTGGGCAGTGCTTGGTGATGCATGTCAAGAATTAGTGAAGATTGGCAATTCACCAAAACTTTGGCCTAAAAATCAACTTCGCACAAATAGGGGTGTATTGCATATTTTAAAAAAAATTATTAAAAAAAAGGAAAGAATTTCCTTGTTGAGTCCATAACTTTTGTAGTGCATAGGTGTACCGTGTAGGCAGTGGGTAGTGTATTAAAACGACGGCCTCTTTTAAAAAGTGCCTTATAATTCATTCTTTAGATTATAATTTATTTCTTTTCTCATAAAAAAATAATTTATAAGTAATTTTTAATCAAAAACTGATTATAATTATCTTTTTAAAATAATCCCACATCGTTTTGGTGTTTATAAAAAATAATTATGCAATAAAAAAAAAAAGAGAAGAGATGCGAGAGCATCTTCTTTCCTTTTCACTGCATAAATAATAATTTATTTTTTTTTTCTATTCATAAAAATGAGGTCGTTTTCATACGCTACAAAATTAGCCATGAATGAACTCTTCCTTGTCATTTGTCATGTCATACGCGAAATGACATGGCCCACCACCAGCTACACACCATACCGCGTAGAAAAAGTAGCTGGAAATGGAATTGGCTGAGTGAGAAACCCAGAAAATTCCTTCAAAATCAGAGGAAAATAGTTGAGAGTCGCAATATTTTTGAACTCCACACTCCACAATCTAATTGATTTGTGACAACATTGATCTGTGACAACACATTGTATATATTTTATTTATTTATTTATTTTTCGTTCTTATCCACTCTCTCTCCTCCCCTCTGTCACAAAAGTGCTGGGGTCTGAATCATTTCCCAAAATCAAATCTACGATACCTGAAAGCCTGAGGGTTTGTGAAACGCGATCAATAAACGGCGTTGTTGGCGTTGTTGGCTTCTTTGGCCGGAGGGCTTGCTGCAGTTGGTAAACTTTTAGGTGCTATCTATCCCAAGATGAAGAGTAGGATCAGATTCCGATCCAACCTCCAAAAACTCAACAAGGAAATGGGAAAGCTAACAAATCTTGGAAACGCCGTGAAAGAACAGATCGAGGAAGCTGAGAAGAGAAGGGGCCAGGTAGCTGCTGCACCAGCAGTGAAGATGTGGCTTGAAGATCTTGAAGCCATCAACAAGGAAGTGAGTTCAATAGAAGCACAGGTAGAAGGCAACGGCCAAAATGAACAAGGTAAACTTTGTCCAACAACTCCAAGTTGCTGCTGCCTTGGTGTGTGGGTGAAAATCTGACCACACTGCCCGTTTAGTGATCAGCTGGTGAACACAAGCAGAATAGATGGCTTAAGCAACCTGAAACAGAAAGAAAAAGCTCCGGCGGTGGTTCTTCCACCCGGGGGCACTCCGACGATCAAGTCAGTATATCTCTCAAAGATAATCAAGTACTAAACTGAATACTCAAAGTATAAATTGCATACCTTAGACCCACGGGGGTGCCTCTCTTTTATAATATACTCAATCCAAGTCCCACTAGAAGTATGACTTCTATGAACTCTAATTATGCTAAAGAAGAAGTGCATAGCACGGGTGATAGGCTATTATATATTAAGGAAAAAGGGGGTTTCTAACTCTAAATCTTGTGAGAGCTCCAATATCTCAATCTAAATTTCCTGATTTTTTGATTTAAAAAAAAAATCTCAGCATTTATTGATTTTGTCAAAATCTCCTGATCAGCATTTATTAACCTTTTTGCAATCCACATGTCTTTCCACATGCCTGCCCTTATTGATTTGGTCAAAACCCCCTGATCAGCATTAAAAATCCCCTCATACAAATAATTATAGATACAATCCATGCATAGTTACTGCAGTACCTTTTTTAACTTCTCTCATACCCTATGGTTAGTGATAAGATTGTTAAATTATTTTTATAAAAAATCTTTAAAAACATAATTTATATATTGAGAAAAATCTAAAACAAAT